ACTGAGTCTAGTTAGGTGCGTCTGATCGCCCCAGCCGACCAGTCACAGCGCGCCATGTCTTCCCCGTTCAAATTTGACCATTGGCGTCTCTGCGCGTGCCTCAGCCAATGACCATACTTGCCACAATACTCAACCAGACGCCACACTCACGAGCGTCAGGTCAGTTCTAGTAAGCGTCTAGAGCATGATTTTCTTGACCGGACGCGTCGGTGAGTTCGGTCATTGCTTCGTACGAACAACTTAGCTATGTTAGTGTACGTCACTATCGACCTGACGCACGCCCTGCGCGTCCAGTCGCGTGAACTCATCAGCGTCCGATTGTGAAAGTGAGCCATGCCCTCTTTGCTGCATGTGATCGAACGCTACCTAGGGTCAGATCCCATGTTCGGTGCAGTGTTCGGTAAGGGACCAACGCCATCTTTTCTTTTTCTATCACCTCAACCGCTTTGCCCTTGTTTCCAACTTGCTAACCACAAAGTGTAGAACTTGTGTGCACGTGTGTTAGTATTTTTCAAAGCATTTTACAAGGGTCAAAGTTAGCACACTAGGTTCCTAAATGCATATGCAAGAATCATATCACCTAGTGGCACTCGATAAACCGCTTAGCCAAAGATTTCCCATCTTTATAGTATGGCTATCGATCCTAAATAACTCACACCCTCTATGGTGTCTTGAGTGCAAACCAAAAATGGCTCCTATCATTATACCTTTTCCTTGAGCCCATTTTTGTTTTTCTCTTTCTTCTTTTTCAAGTTGAGCACTTGATGATCTCTATTGTGGCCATCACCTTCACCATGGCCATCATCTAGCTTCACCACTTGGGTTGGACTACCTTATCTAATTCACACACTTAGATCAAAGGTTAGTCCTAGGTTTCATCAATTAACCAAAACCAAACTAGGGCTTTCACAAGTCAAGCGGAGGCGCTAGAAGACTTGACGGCCGGGCGATCGAGGACGACAGTGACACGTGTCGTGCGGTTTGGTGGTTTGGGCCTCAAAACCACTGGCCGACGGTTTTCGAGTTTTGGCCTCAAAACCCAGGTGCGTTTTCAGTGGCAATCGAAGGTGGCATGTGGCGTCATCGTGAGGCATGTATCCAGGCGAAGCTAAGCCATGGAGGCCCTTACCTCTCGTTGTCCTCTGGGATTGAAATTCGAGTTCTTGTTCATGGGATTCTTTTTTTATTGTTCTTCGTTTCTTGGTTTCCCTTCTCCTGGAAATGCTTCCTTCTTCGATTTGAGATGGTTTTTGGTCATTCCAGTTGATCCTAGATGAGCAAGGTCGTGTGCTGATTTTTTCCACCGAGTGAATTTGTTTGAATCCACATGAGCTCATAGATCGGGACGATTTTTGTTTTGAGGAGGAAAAAACAAGTTCTACGCGAGATTTCAAATTCCCAGAGTTTGGCTAAGTCTTGGGTGATAATTTCTTAGGGATAACCAAGACTATTGTCTGCTTGTGACCATCTGGTAAAAATTTGGTGGCAGTTGTCTTTGATTTGGCCTAAATTTGACCGAGTTGGGATTTTTCAGGCGTTGTTCATGGTGCACCGGTCCTCTCTTTGAGGGCACCGATCGTAGCACCAGTCATAAATGATGCGTGTTGGCTCAACGCAGTGCAGTACTTGGCCGAAGTCCCATAGCCGTGTTTGCACCATGGCAACCAGTGTACACTAGGCGTGAGCACCGGTTAGGTCACCGGTGGTGACCGGTGAGTGCAGCACCGCACACGTACAACCCCACACCTGTGTCTCTCGATTTTACTTAACACCCCGGATTGGGGTTCTAGAGAGCCTCACTCTTGGGTTTGCTCGGCCAAGGAGCACCGGTGGCCACTGGTGAAGTGACAGGTGCTGTGCGTAGCTGAGCTGTTCTACCTCGTCCGGTCCTCGTTCTTTGGGCTCCCATCTCTCTCCGTTTTGCTCGGTTGATCTCTTGAGAATCCCGCTATATCTTTTGGTCATCGCTGAAGACACCCAGCCACCAGTTGGCTCGTAGATTTCTCATTGTCGTGTGGGTTTGTTTCTTGGGGTTGAACTTGGGATAGCGGCCTATTTTCGACAAAAAAATTTAGGCTTCCATTCACACCCCCTCTGATCACCGTTTTCGGTCCTTCAATATTAGAAATATTTACAAGAGCTATCTAAGGCATATACTAATGTCTTTTCATACCTAAATTTCACCAAAGTATTTCCAATCCCCAAACCGCTCCTTTCCTTATTGTGCTCTACATCTCACCACTCAGCGCGTTCTCTCATTGTAGATCTAAGCTCGACGAGTCACTCTCTCCTTATCTTACTAGCCAAAAAGTTTTGGTATCACCATCGCCATTGACAAAAGGGGAAAATCCACACAGAAAACAAATTTGATGGCTTTCATTGCAATGACCTAGGGGAGAAATATGTTCCCGTGCCCAAGATTACGACAAAAACATGAAAAGTGTATCAGCTTTTGATGTTTCACATGCAAATTGGTCCATTGATTATCCGACGTGCATGTGTGGCAAGCTCACAAGTCGTGCAATGGATATCCTCCAAATCTTTTCATCGCTAGAAGCTGTTTACATGTGAAAAAATAACATGGTCACATCATGGCAATCAACAATGCAGTAGAAAGACATATAGATATCAATCTTTATTAAGATTAGTACCCCCTTGTCCCCAAATAAATCAATCTAGAATCTGTGCAATTCAAACTATCTTAAATTTGACTAACTTTAAAGAAAAGAGTAACAACATCTATGATATAAAATGAGTACATTATAAAAATAAATTATATGGTATATCTAATGATGCTAATTTGATGTCATAAATTTTGATGGGTTTTTTCTAAAAATTATGTCAAAGTTTAAAAAGTTTAATTTAAGACAACTATAGGAATATATTTATTCAGGCACAGAGGGAGTAGCTCACTAGCAGTAATATTGTGATGAATATGCTTATACTTTATCGCTAAAGTACCAATACATATATGTAAAGAAAGGGACGAGATAATCCAAGATTTAGATTTTGCATGAGGGCCAACGGCCAAGAAACGGAATAATTATTAAGAAACTAGAACAATGGTTTTATCGAGGACTAGAGCTCACCATCAGTGAACCGAATGCCACCTTAACGTGGTCTCAGTAGAAATTACATAGCCATGAGATAGTACTGGAGAGAGAAAAAAAAAGAGGGAAAATGAGACAAATGGCGTTGTACATTATTTAATCCAATAAATTGAACGACGATAGCTATATCGAAATTGTGTTGATAATTAAGGTTGGCACATGGACAAGCAGTCACAAAAAAAATGTTGGCACATGGAGAAGAATTAAATATACAAATATCATCGTCCAATTCTTTCGTGGAGAGGAATTGCACATATATACACGCACACGTTCAAAGCCGAAAAGGATTGAAGTAGAAATATTTTTGCATTGCACTACAGGTCGTCAGGTGCGCAGGAAAATTAATATCGATGTCAAACTTTGCAACAGGACTACAGGAGCCCTGAATTGTGGGAAAGAAGTGCACGGAGCACTCAAATTTGGACTCAGAAATTCGCTTGGGTTGAGTAAGAAATTCGCTTCCCCTCACGTGCTCGCTCGGTCCATGCGCACGCCGCATTGACTCTGCCCCCGAATCAAATGCAACGGAAGTCGGAAGGAGAAGAAGAGGAAAAAAAAACGGAGATCGATGTATAGTGGGGAGGACTGAGAAGGAATTGGAGTACGTTGTATGTAGGAGAAGGAGCGTACGGTACGTTACTGCACTACAGGCCGGGTGCCCGCCCGGTGCTGGCGGCGGCTACGGTGACGGTCGAGTCTACACTAGGACCGTGACGCCGCCGGCGACGGTGACGTTCGTGGTCGTTTTGCTTGGTTGTTGGGCTCGGCGCCTCGCCATGGGAAATGGGAAGGCAACGACGTCGTGGATTATATTAGTCAGAGGCAGAGAACGCACGTACTAGCATCATGTATGTACAGTTAGTGAGACTGGGACAGTAACCTGGGCCAGGGTCAGGGAGGGAGCGTCGCTGTCGCGGTTGAAAAAGCGCAGCCACTGACGACGAGACCACCGTAACATCACATCCTCCCATCCGTCCAGCTTTCCCGGACGTTAACCATGATCTAGTATACTACTACAAATAATTCTCTGCACCAATCTTTTTGTAGGGTCACAGTCACAGTAAAAAGTAACCAATTTCCAATTACGGCCGGGTGTAAAAAATTGACCAGCTTAACTATCCTCGGCATACGTGTTCGGAAACTTGCTGGAATTAATTGATGAGGTAACGGAGACCGACCTGGCAACCTACGAACTGCAAATCTTTAATTTCTTCCACAACCATTTTAGTTTGTTATACTACTCTTTTCTGCAAAGGAGGTAACAGGGACAAGAACTGCCAAGAGAACTGCTACTACGTATACCCACCACAACTTCATGGTCAAAGAAAAAGGAGAAGGAAACAGTCATAACAGCACATGGAGCACACCAAAATCATCTTCATTAGGATGTTACTCAGCTAGAAAGCAAGCAGGGTACTACTACTACTTAGGAAGAACCAGATTCAGGGCCTGGTCAGAGGAGATTACAGCAGGCTGTAGTTGCCATCTCATTCTCACCGCTATTTACAAAAGAGCTACTACTCACTCTAGTATAGATAATGATAAGGATAAAGCAGAGCAAAAGCGCGAAAGGCAAAAGCGAAAGAAGATGCTAGTTGATTGAGCTGCACTGCACAAGAGATCTAATTAATTAAGAGCTCGATCTACAGAGTAACAGAGTCCATCTGATGGATCATCGTCCCTCCAGCCTAGTAGCTAGCAGAGTTGTAACAAGGCTACTCCCCTGTAAAAAAACACAAGAAGCCTCTCCATGTATGACTCCGATCCATCGATCCATTCCAAGCGGCAAGCAAGCAGCACGCAAGCAAGCGACGAAAAGAGAGCAAGAACCTACAAGCGCGGTAAAGATCTGAATTTAAGGTGCCGTTGGAGCGAGAACATGGTCCGGCCTCAGCTTTGGGTCTCCGGGCACTCGAGGATGCTCTCGAGGCGCGGCCGCCAGCCGGCCTGCTTGTCGGCGCCGGCGCAGGAGCCACCGCCGCCGCCGACTCCCTTGGCGGCCTGCATGTGCTGGAGTACGTCCTCGAGGCGCTGCTCGCCGCTCTTGAGCTGCGCCATGAGCCACTCCAGCTCGCCGCGCGTCAGCACGATCTTCACCTTGAGGCCCTCTGCCGCCACCGCCGGAGCCACGGCCACCACCTCCTCCTCCTCCTCCACCACCGAGTGCATACCCACTGCCTCGTAGCCGTAGTCGTCCTCCACCTCCCGCAGCAGCTGTCTTATCCTCCTCATCTGCGAGAGGCTCTCTTCCTCCTCCGGCAGCATGCCATGGTGGCTCCGCTTGGAGGCCGTGTTGAGGCAGTTGCCCATGGCTTGGCTGGCTTTTGGATCGAGCTTTGGCTAACGGACGGAGAGGCAAGCCAGCAGAGCAGAGGTGGGCTGGTTTTGGCTAAGAGGTGGGAGGCGCGGCCGTGCGGGGCGTTTTATAACGCCGAGGCGCCGAGAGCTGGTGGCTGGTGGTGGTGGCGCGCGCGCGCGTGTAGCCGCCGTGCGTGGCATGGGTTCCGCGTCAAAAGGAGTAGGGGAAAGGGCCGGGGGTAGCATGCAGCGTGGTGGTGCGTGCACATGGAGGGGTCGCCTCCGGTCGGGGTCGCGATACGATCGTGGGGTGGTGCGTGCAGGGCTGGCCGGCGGACGGCACGGCACCGGCACCGCACGCTTTTCATTCCGGTCCATCTGCTGCTGGCTGGTGCTGGTCCCGCTCGCTCCCAGGTCGGTCGTCGGTCGTTTGGCAGTGGTAAAGGCGAACCATCTAGAGCGAGGTGAGGTCGTTGGCTTGTTTCCTTTGGTTAGCGTGTGGGTCACTGACGGACACACAACATCTCCGTCGTCGCTCCGGGCTTTACTTACTTGTGAGACCCAGCTTGGGCTTTTCTAAAAGGATCCTCCTAGCCCGTCGGTGCAATATTTGGTTGGCATGCAAGTGCCGGCATTTCCAGACCCAACGACCTGCCGGACGCACACGCACGCTACGAGCGTGTGACTAGTGATGACTGGCTGATGAGCTACTGTCCTGTCCTGTTGTACACTCTCTCCTGCTGTAGTGTCATGTCCCTTACTATACACCGAAAAGGATCCGAGACTGAGTCTAGGCAGCTCGCAATTGCGTGCGTGTGTGCGTGTCGTATGCATGCTTCCACTGCACTCACGGGCACGGCACCACCCGCGCAACGATCCGTGCGCGCGCCCGAGACCTCATCATCACCGCCGCCAAACCCGCTCGTCCGTCTATCCACGGAATGATATATGGAATCTCCATGTGTCACAGTACCTCACGTGAATACATACCGAAGAAGCTAAGGATAGTCTCTGGCCAGTTTCCAAACAAAAAAAGAAGAAGTTGAGGGCGAGGGAGGACATAAATGTAACAAAACTCAAAAGCCTTATGTGATGGCCATTAATTCCTTACTTGACGTTAAGTGCTTCAAATTACTATTATAAGTACGTTCGTTATAATCCACTGGGGTTTTTAGTTTGGTCAGCTGTTGCTGAGTGGATGGTTTCGGAGCGCCCATTCATCCCGCCAATTGGGAAGAGACGGACTCAGTTGCTGCATGGTGGCAATCTCTCACTTTGACACCAGGCAGGCCAAGGAAAGCGATCAGAACCTTGATAATTTTGGTCACTTGGGAAATCTGGAAAGAAAGAAAGAAACACGAGTTTTTAATCTACCATACCTATAATACACCAGTTAGAATAAATTTATAGCTACATAACAAATATCTGCTCTACAGTCATGACCTATGCTACATCCATACCTATAAATACATCCAAAAAATATAACACCATCAAAACGGATATACCAAATTATCTCTTAGCCATTCTCTCTTATTACTCATCTAAATTCGACGGCTTTAGTGTATCTGCCCTCCATCGCCCTCCCGTGCACCTCCCCCCGCACGCGACTCCCCTCTCCCCCAACGGCCACGGTTTGATTCCTGGGGGCGACACTTTTACCTTCCCCTTCGCTCGCGCCCCTCTCTCTGTTCCCGGCGGCGGCACCTCCCTCTCCACCCACAGCATCCCTCTCCCTCTTGACTCCGGCCGGCACCGCGCTCCCCTCTCTCCGTCCTCGGCAAGCGCCTCCGTCTCCTTCTCCCAGTTCGGCGGACGTCTAGGGTTTTGGCCGGCGGCGGCCGCTCCCGGCGCCGCTCCCCTGCCGGCGGCGCCTCCCTCTCCCTCGCCAACATCATCCGGCACCTCTCTACCTCCCCGAACAACGCCTCCCTCTCCTGCTCCCGGTCCGCCCGGCGGTGGCGCCATCAGGCGCGGGCTCCCTGTCCGGCCACGCCTGATTCCAGCGTGGCGACCCCTCTGGCCCTCCCGGTGGTGGCACCCTCGATATCTCTCTTTGTGTGGTATTCTTCCCCCTTCTCTCTTAATTTTCTCGGGTTTTTTCTTTGAGGAAATCTTGCAAATTTGAGAGTGTAAGTATACATATGATGCATCTCCAGAGTATAGAATGTTTACTTGATCTACATTTATTTTCCTATTAAAAAAGGAGCATTGTTTGTATGCATAGCGTTTTCTGGCAATTTAAAAATTTGCTCTCATGTATTCATTGTTTCACTGCTCTGTAAATCTGAAACGTTTGTTCTCTTTTTACATAATACTGTAGTCTACTAAGGAAGTAGGAGTATTTTTATCTCTTATGTGAAGATGTATTTCACCCCATATTTTGCTGCTCAACAAGGTAGGTGTCCATAAAAAACTGCTATGGTAGTTTTAACATGCTGGTATGCCTTCACCATCACTTTTCACATCAACATATATGGTACCTTGCAGACCTTTTTTTTCTTCATTAGCTGAACACCAGCAGATTGATAGCAAATCTGTTTCTAAAACATGTTCCAAAACCATTTTTCCAGTCTTAACAGAGAAATTTTGAGTTTCCTCTCTTAATGCATATTTGTTAGTTTGGAAGGTTAATTTTTTTATTTAACAAAATGCCATTTGCAGGTCCTTTGAACATTAGGCACCAAACTCATACAGGTTGTGCAAAATAAAAGGTGTATCCTGAATTTGAGAACTTAAGTTACTTTGGTGCTTGTCTGGTAATAAATCTGCACCCTCATCATTGCAAGGTTTTTTATATTGGCCAATTTATTTCTACTGAAAAAGCAAACTGTGAGCATGTGGTTCTTTTTAATTCTTTCCCTCATCCACTATTTTATTGGTTGATTGTAGAATAAGATGATGGAAGATGAGAACAAATTGCTGGCCTCTGAACTTGTAAGTGTCCTTGCAGGGTTGCATATCTCCAATTGTTCTTTTATGGAGAGGAGAAACAACTTCTCATTTAGAGCACAAATGCACTACTGATGTGAAACGGTAATGCATACTTCATGAAATGCAGATTACGGACTTGTCGTTCTCTCTTTATTCAACTTTTGTTATAGAGGCTCAACATGGTTTTAACAAGGTGCGCTCACATTTTCTATTTTTCCTTTTATTTGTTACTTGCTAGGTAGGAATATATATCTTTGAAAAAATTGTCAACTTGCAGTGTTTGATAAGTACTCAAGTAACTGGGGTTATGAATTTCTTATCTCCATTTTCCTAATATTGGGGCCACCAATTGTTCAGTTTTTTTTGTTCCTGCAATATGGAGCCTGCAAATGCTAACCAATAACAAACAGCCGTAAAAGTTGAGTCCAGGCATCTACTTATTATAGAACAAAAAAAGAGACATGATTGTATTTTAATTTACCTTTTACCTCTCCTATGTAATGTTCTCTGTTTGCGTGTTTAAATACCTTGTTATTTATTCCTCTTAAATTTGAGTTCCCTTTGTTATGTTGGTGTATACATTTGTTGAGACTGTGCTGGATACCTTGGTACTACTTCCAAACTTTCTTGAGGTTTTTTCAAGATGAAAGTAGGCGATCCAGCTCTCCTGGGGATATTGCTATTCTATTTCTTGCTTTTGGTAAACGTTTTCCTTTCCTTGGAAGCATCAAACTTACTTACCTCAAAGTTGTGCAACAATAACTTCTGTTTTAAATTTTTATATTTATCGTATGCTGATTAAAATATGTTGCCAACTGCAGGTTCAGATATGCTGTACACTGTTCAGCCTGTTGATATCCTAAGAAAGGCAAAAGTTATTGTTGCTCCAGCAAAGGCAACTGCTACTGGTGGGGGTAATGCACTGCTGGTGTTGCTCAATGCATTGTGATATCAAGTTTCAACCTGCTTGGATCGGTTTCCATTTTGTATGGATGTTTAGGCGTGTCTAATTGGCTTCCTTGCTCTCTCCCAAAATTCTATGGAACTTGCTTCTTTGCAATGATGCTATCAAGATGGCCAGTTACATGCCATGGTCACAGGATATTATTGCTCTATTTAACCTACCTTTTTTATTGGTTAACACTTGTAGACTTGTAGTGAAATCTGAAAACATGATAATCAGGTGGCTCCTGGACGTGAAGTCATCAACTCTTGGCAACAGTATTGAACTCCTTGCTATGCTGCGCTGGAATATTTCAAATGACCACAAAAACCTTTGCAGATAGTAACTTCGGATCTCATGCTGTGAAGCTCATAATACATGTAACTTGACTTGAAGTTGGTGTCAATGCAAAGGGATCAAGAGTCACTGTTCTGACGGCCAATAATATGATGCATGAAAATTCTGTCAGCAACCCAAATAATGTAAGAGGGTGTCTGCTTTTTACAAGCTCTTTGGTATTGCAACCTTCTGAATATCTGCATAAATGTCAGTGCAAACAATTTTATAACTTTGAAACTTGCAAAATGGCGGAGCTCAAATTTAGTTTGGAAATGATGCAGGTTGTGTTGATTACCGATGGGCAACAGGCCATGATGCTACCAATGACACCAGCCTACTCCATCAGAGGTGAGATGAAGCTCCAAAATGCCCATTGCTATCTGATTAACAAACTGATCTTCTGTCGGCTACAGAAGAATGAAGGATCTAGAAATATTGCAAATCCTATGAGAGGAGCAAAGATTCTAGAAATAAATCCACACGGCCGACTATACTTTTTCACTTGCGGCTATCTTTTGGTCTAAGTCGCTTTGGATACATGTATATCGTTTTGGATGATCATTTGGGGCTGGTGTGCTTTTTTAAATGCCCCTCTGTTATATGCCACCCTGTATTTTTCAAAAATCGAAGTGTAACGATTATCCCTCTGTTAGCTGCTCGTGACATGTGAGCCTAGGCATACATTGTGGAGGTAGCAATTGTTCCAGTTTCTGACTTGCTAGGTAGAGCATACACATTTATTATTTTTCTTCCTTGGAGGTTTCAAGCAAAGTTGGGATTACTGATAAAACCAAAGGTA